GTCAACAGCTCTTGCTAGTTCTGTGTTTCTATCGAGTTATAGAAACATGGTTTTTAACCAGTCAACATGCATATTTTCTTAGGACTGTTTTCTAAACACCTATAACTATACACTATCCAATATCAGGTTTCTCAATAGATACTGTGACTTTGACAACACTGTAAATGTCAATGGTCAGTTATTATTGTTGTTTGATGTTTCCTTACATCACTCACTAAAGGTGTGACCTGTTCAAAAAATATTTACTATGGAATAAAGCACATTGCAGAAGTTAGTTCATATTCAGAATATATCATTGTGCAAATAATGATTTTGAAACAAAAAATTATTACAGCTAAGGCAAATGCGGAGAGTCTTTTCAAATGCAAATCACATTTATCTCTTTTTAATGTTACTCCCCTACACGGGCCTCCAAGCTCTCCATTGCAACTAGTTCAAGTCCATGAATACTGAGAGTACGACAATGGTCTATTGTGTTGGTCGGAGATATTTAACTGAAAGGTTAAAAATATGACCTGTTGTAATAGACAAAAGAAAACAATGGATTATAGCTGGAGTGAAATATGTTGGCTAGTGACTGATAAATTAGTGGTAAGACTTTATTTAAGGAGGGTAACGCTTGACAGTAATAAAACTGATAACCTCATGGCCCTCTGAATAAAATAAAATAAATAATAATAAATTAAATTTAAAATACAATATAAAACTATGTACATCAAAGAAAACAGAAACTGAGGGTAAAAAATGATTACATAAAAATGAGGCAGCTAATTTATAAGGGTAGCAAACATAAATATTCAATTTTGCTGAACATATTCAAAACATTACGAACACCAGCAGCATCTTGTAGGGAATGTAATGCTAGAATGGCCATGACTTGATACCCCTAGAGGGAACAGTGGAACAACCAACAGAAACAATGCCACTAAAGGAATAATAGCTGTGACTCAGATCAGTGACATACTTAAAAGCTTATTAGAGCCACTGCACCTTCGGAATCCATCCTAAGAATCAATGTTGACAAATAGATGTTGCGTGACGAAGTTTTGTCACAGAAGATTACGCATGCGAATGTGTGAATCCCGCTGAATCGAGCTGAGCCTACAACATTAGCGAACAAGATGGTGAGTCTTAGTAATATTTTCCCTTGGAACAAAGTCGGGGAAATCTTCGATCTGAGTTTTAGTACACCACATAACACAGCGCAAATAATTGTTTTGTTTATTCTAGTTTCAGTTTATGCTGCTTTTTAGCCG